GTTCTTGCAAAATGCTTGGAATGATAATGATTTCTGCAGCCAAAAGTTATTGCATTCCAATAAATAAAAATCGCTCCGAGTCAATTGGAGTGGAATAATGGGACTATTTTAAGGACTATTTTAGCAGATCAGAGACATGACATGCATCGCATACGTGACAATGAAGTCGATCAAGTGTGAGTTGGTTGGAGGTTGAAAAGAGCTGGAGCAAATCCACCACGATGATGACGACGACGAGTCCCATTTTATACAAGGGTTGAGTAATCTGAGGAATTTGCGATTTTTATGCAGGTGGAAAGTGGGCCAAAGACGTGACACTACCAGTTGCAGTTTATTCGTGTAATTGTTGTGCTACAGAATTCCCATTAGTTTTAAACGCTCTGGTCTCAGAGGAGCCATTATTATTATCCACGAGAGAGAGAGACCACAATTGGTCACATTCGAGTTTATTCGCGTCTCATGCGTGAGGTTGCGGTTGAAACAAGTGCACAGCGATTTCAATTCACAGCAACGAAAGTAAACCAGCCAGCAGCTCTTGGCTCGGAGCATGAATTACATCATCAGTCATTTTTCTGCCACAATCAGATCAAAAAGCGAGTGCCGCACCAACATAGGCAGTCACAGAACTCTGTATTTGCATACGTTATGGGGAGTATCAAGAGCATAATATCATATCATACACAACTGGGTTGGATAACAACAAATGTAATAATGACACATTTTTACTTTATGGCATTTCTTGGCACTTGTTTCGCGACAATCGTTGCGTTGTTGTCGCGGCGGCGAGAAATGATTGTGCAGTCATCATTTTTGTGGGAGGGCTGATCATCCCCACCACGCATCATAATTCTTCTCTGTGTCAATGCATCCATTACAAAATCCTATCTTTCTTTCTTTGACTCGTTTTGATTAATGTTGCATTAATCAGAACCATCAACTTTAATAAATACTTTGGAGGATTATTTTAAAAATAGGGAAACATGGTGAAGTCCTTGTGTAAAAATATGACCAACACCCACGGGCCAATTTTTACTGCATAAACCCAACCGAGTGGACCAACCCAAAATAAGAATTTATGGATTAATCGAGAAACAATAAGGACGTAGATGCCACCATTTGCTGATAAACAGTTGCTATGAATTACAGAGCTGATGTTTGCTTCCGTCTTGTTGGAGGTCCATCTCCATCTACGCCTTGCAAAATATTCAATAAATAAATATCTAGTTGATAACGTGCAAACTATAATTAGACCAATTTTCGATCAGGGTTAAAGAATAAATAAAATATTGTGTTTCTGGCTAAATTGTTCTAATGGCAAGGGTGCGATGAAAAATGAGACCTCCTGATTCATCTCGTCTCATTATTGCTCTCATCAATCAATTCATTACGCTCTCTGTATACGTACGTCGTCGTCGTCGTCGTCGTGGTTGGGCCGGAGGAGTTAAGTTCGTTAATTGCGCCCAATTGTGCCTCACCACACCAAAAGACCCAGATAGATAATAGCAGCGTGTGTGTTTGTACGTTAAATGGAGACGACCTTGAAGTACCTTCACAAAAATGCTGTAAAGTCGCCTAATAATAATAATAATGGGGAATTAGCATGTGATGATCTCCCTTTTTCTGGGTCGGTCGGCAGAAGATGAGGAGGAGCAGGCAGCCAGAATATAGTTCAATTGACGCTGTTAATAAACAAATGATAACAAATATTTCCAATTAAGGTACTCACTCCTCATGCAATTCCACATTAAACAAAAGGCCGTAATAGATACATAACAAGTCGTCTGCATCAGAATTATTGACTAAAAATGCAGATAGCCACCGCCCTACATAGATTCCGGACTTTTTTGAGCCTTTTGTAGACAAGTTGTCGCTCTGTCATCTTCTTCTTCTTGGTCGCTTTGGTGTCGATGATATCAATTTTAGTCACGAAGAAAGAGTGATGAGGACAAAAAATGGAATGAGGAAATTCTTTTTCAATTAAATCAAGATTGACAGACGGTGCGATTATTGTCTCCCTCTTTTCACGTTGCATGGACGAGGATGATGGAGCAGATGATGATGGCACAACGAGTCGAGAAGAAGAACATTTTTTTTGTCTGATGGGCTTATCTTCTTGTGGGCTCTGACAATAAATTAGCTCGCAAATAAACGGCTTTTATTACGCAACGTGTTCCCACTAATTAAGATCTCAACTTTTCATCCAATCGATACATACAAAAGGCGTTAGGACATGGTTTTGACGAATTCGCGGGTGAATATCTCTGGCGAGGAGTTGAATTTTGAACTGATTTTTGGTCAGTTGCAAGATAATACTCTCAAAAAGATATATTTAAAATTTTAGGCCGATAGCTTTATAAATGCCCCCTCCAGTGCCCCCAGAGTTGGAAGGAGCCAAAAAAACACTTTCCAAACTGAATTACTCATATAGCATGATAACCTAAGAGGTCAGAGGTGAATAATTGTTAATATTACAACCCTAGATAATCATTGCATGAAATAATAAAAGAATCCACAATGAATTACATAACGTTAGGCCTCCATCGTCGCTGATACTTTTCCATGAAAAGTGATCAATCGGACCGTGCACCGGGAAATTGACCTGCTGACCTTGAAAACGGACCGACTGGGTCAAATGAAGATTGAGGGCAAAGCTCAAAGTGTCCTAAGTAATATTAAATTAAGCAGTGAAGATTTTGGGTAAACAGTTTTGAAGAAGGACCCTAGCTAATCAGCTGACGGGGAATCATAAAAAACTCGTGAACTAATTTGGGAAATTAATGGTCAAATTTTGTTGGAAACAAATTTTAATAACTTTTTTGTGTCTCCTGCTGAAGAACTATTTTACCTACAAGGTACAAGTGACAAAATAATAAAATTACTGTGTTTTGATTAGTTAAAAAAAATTTAAAGTTCCGCTTCAATTTTGAGGAGAACTTTTGTAAAAAATTTATAGGGTTTGATGGAATCCCATTTCCTGGGGTGTAACCACTTATCAGAATTTTATCAAAAGTACTTACAGTGCAATATACTATATGTACCTTGGATAAAAACCACGTTAGGGATTTTTAGCATCAAAGTCCTAAAATGTGGGGGCCTTAAAAGTCGAGGAGATGCGTTCACGAGAGCATTCCATTAGGACAAGTAGGAAGCTAGACTACAAAAGGGACTTAAAAGATAAGCATGATACAAAAGTGGTTTTATATAGTGAAAAGCATGCTAAGTCCCTTGATAATAGTCGCAAAGACGATTTTTGCACCAGGACCTCAGAAAACAATATTTTGTTCAACGCCATTTTATAAGAACACTGGTTTGGAAAACTAAAAAAGGACACCTCTCCAAATTTAACCTTGCCTCATTTCGTAGAGTACACAAAATCGGGAGCCAGATATGCTTACCTATAGTTTGACACATAAAAAATGTTAGAAATCTCTAGAACTAAAAACCATCCCGCAATTAAGGTATGAATTCGTCAAAACCATGTCCTAACGCCTTTTGTACAAAGTAGCATTATTTCGCGTAATTTTATTCGTCTCGAGTTGGCTCCGTAATTGTGCATATATTTCTTTCCATTATGTAAATATGTACATACCAACTTTGGGTTGGGCACTTATTGGCTGAATTATTTGCTACTTTGAATGAAATGGAAATAAGTAAGACCACCAATAAAAATGAAATTCTTGGTTGAAACTGAAACCCACATTGTTCAGGTACATGCACGTCTCTCCATTTACAGTGGTCACCGATGGAAGCACAAACAAGGGACATTTTTCATCCACATTTTCCTACAAGACGAGAAACCACGTGTGTCATGCTTTCGATGTAACATTTCGACTGCCATGAAACAAGTGATGTAATAATACGAGCACTTTCCAAAATTCTATCAACAACGAGTCCACAGCAAGTCCAATAAACAACTTTGTATGCATTTCATACGTGTCATATTTCGGACTAAATGAACATGAGCATGAGCTTCCTTGATTAAAACTGCAGACTTTTTACGACCAATAAATTCACATAAACCCAGTTTTCCTTTCATTTGCTTACTTAACAAGCGAATTATTGAGTGTTTTTGTGGGCTCGTTATTGTTCTTTCCTTTTTCCTTCGAGACGCTGATTGTCTAGATGACCGTAAGTAATATTGTTATTATTATGCAGGGCCAATTTCGAGATTGGTGGACGTGAGCGAGCGTCGTGATTCCTCAATCGCAATTTATTTTCAGTTAGAAGTGGATCTACCGCACCGACGACGACGACACCGCCGCCTCCGCCTCGACCATTTGGCATATCCACACGTTTTTTCCCCTTCAGACGTACGTATGCATATTTCTGAGGCTGCTTTTTTACCGTCTTGTTGTTGGCACGCATGAATTCATTCCCTAATAAGATTGGCTCATTAACCGCTTCTTAATTAATGACCCTTTTCTCCCGCTGGTCTACGACAACGTCAAACAATTTGGTTTGATCGCATGCATAATTGCAAATTATATCATAACATTTCGTTGACCAAGAGAATGGCCAATTTGAGCCGGAGGAGGAACTTTTGTGAAATTGCGAAACGAGAGATTGAAATGGGAAGCAGAATTAAATGAGACTTTGAATATTGAAAACTCACGGCCTGCCTGATACACATTCTTCAGCAGTCCTCCGCTGGTCGTCCGTCGTACCGTTCCTTCGTGCAAATAATAGTAAATATGCACACAAAGTTTAGTTGGTGAGGAAATAGCGCAGGGCGTGTGCAGTACACTTGGCCATTGTTGGCTCAGGCAGGCTGATGAGCTGTCATCGGCACAAGGATCATTCCATCACGACTTATTTTGGCCACTCAATACTCAATAAAATATACACCGAAGCCCAATTGTTAGTTTCAGATCCTTTAAATTGCACGTTTAAATGGAGTGCCGTTTTCAAAGATCAAACGGTGATACGTTACAACTGCTGCCAATCTGTACATAATAAGTGGCATCGCAGATGGGGTCGATCGATCGGGAGGCGATAGGCGATTGAGAAACATCATCATCATCAAAATTGATGCTTTTATTATCATTTGATTTTATTATTACATTAGCAAAAAGAGCTCAAAAATGTGTGCAACACAGGGCAGAAGTCGTAGTGTATGGCTATTAACGATATCATAAATGTATGCATACATATATTATCCCCCTTAATAACTAAGTTACTACCCGTTTAACAAAAATGATTGAACACAGTGAAGAGAGTACTGAAATCCTTAACAAATAATTAATGGTGACGGTACACAATAAGTGGATATACATGCATAGAATACGTCAGTAGGCATTGATGCTGCTCATCATTCAGCAAAACAGAGGAATTCAACTAAATAAATTAACCTTAAATATGTACAACTTGGTTCGGAATTATTCAATGGCAGTGTTTTCATACAATATGAACACATTATGACATTATGTAACTACTGCTTATTGTCTAGTCAGCATAAAATTACCTAAATCTAATAGATTTTAAAGAGAAACGCCACATTTTCATGAGAAATTTAGGACTTGGAGGCTTGTCGTCGACTTCGTTTGCGACAGTGATGCTCATCGCTCCCGTCTAAAAGGTGACAAAAATTTCAGTAGAATATTTTTTTTAATAGTTCCAAATTCCAATGTGTGTATGTGCATACCTTTGCAGTCTCTCTCATTGTCGCAACGATCCTCTTTGGGGACGCACTGCAAGACAAACATGTGAATTTAGCATATCTGAATCATAATAATAATCTTTTCGACAAACCTGGTCGCCTGATTTGCACCGGAACTCGTTGAGTTTGCAAAGGATGACGTCGTCCACAATCAAGGAGAGACTCTCACTCTTGGAGCCAGCCACGTTGCTCGCAGTGCAAGTGTACTTTCCCTCGTCGGCCTTTGTCAGGTGGGCAATTTCTAAGGCCGTGAGGTTCCCTTGAGACGTTATCAGCATCTTCTCTGACCCCCTGTGCATATTTACGAATTAGGCAAGATTCCTGGTGCTACTGACATTATTAGAAGTATGAGGTCTGCTTACTCTAGGGAGCGAAACCACGTAATGTTGGGGGTCGGGTAGCCGGATGCCGTGCACTCGATGCGGACTTGTTCTCCACTCCTCCGTTTCACGGGAGACTTGGGGTTGAAGCTGATTGACGGGATTGTCGACGGCATCGCCTGTTCATGAGAATCACCACCCAATAATTTTCTACCACATACTTTTCCACATTGCATTGAAACGAAGGGTGAAAACGTGTACCGGAATGAATCCGAGAGTGGCCTCCACCTCGGCCATGCTGCCTCCAGGACCCATCGCTTTGCACACATAAACTCCAGCATCCGAACTTCGCACCCGGTAAATGATCAGCGTCCCGTTCTTCATCACCTCTGAACTTTTGGGAAGCTCGTCATTCTTCTTGGACCACATGGGCTTCACGTTGGGATTGTTGGTGGAGCAGTTGAAATAAGCGTGATGGCCTTCCGCCACTTCGACTTGCATCTTTGAAATGAAGACGGTCAATGGAGGGGCTACTGGAGCAACTACGACTGAAAAAGTGTACATAATTACGAAGTGTCCAATAAGAAAAATCTGCAGGATGGAGCAAAACTCACCAGGTTTCTCAGTTACGAGAATGGTTGCCCTCGCAGTGACCTGGCCGATGTGGTTCCACGCGACACAATAGTACGACCTACAATTAAATATATACATATATGAAGTATTGAACCCATATTTTATATCTATCCGTGTTATGAATTTTGTTTTTATGTAAATTGAATAAAATTATCGAAGTTTCATTTTATTGTAAGAATCTAGTTAACATGCTTGCATACCCTTCGTCCTCCTTCTTAATGGCTTTGAAGATCAGGGCCCCTCGCGACACTCTGACGTGGACGGGAATGTAGTCGCTGGACCCACTCTTCCAATAGAATTTCATGGGCTCCTCCCCACTCGCGTTGCATTGGAGAGTGACCGTCTCTCCGACCTGGGCACGAATCTCGGTCGGCTCCACAATCACGGAGGGATAGCCGTCCACCGCCTGGTCCTTTTGCATCGAGTGGAGAATCGACGGCTTTATCGGCGTTTGCGGAGGTTGGAATTGAGCCCACTTTGGCTTGGTCTTGTTGGCGTTGTTGTAATAACTGGTGTTACTCTTGATGGGAAATATGGACTGGGTGGACTTGTTGAAGGCGTATGCGGAGGGACCACCACCGTCTTCAATCATGAGGATTTTAGGATCATCGCTCGGATTCTTGGGGTACTTGGGTCGGACGATCAGCGAGACGTGCTTCACGTCCATCGTGTCTCCCTGAAGAGCAGCCACGATGTAGGTGCCGTTGTCGGTCATCCTAGCGCTGTGGATGACGAACTCGGGTCCATTGTAGCGGGGAGCAATTTCACCCTCTTTATACCAGTCCGGTCTCACCTGGGGATCAATGTGCATGAAACAATTGGATGGCAAAAGTCAAGTCTTCAGTAATGACGAACCGTAATGGATCCGTAGTAGAAAACGTTGGCCGTCATCGCCACCTTTTCCCCTTCGTCCACACAAATAAAATCGTCCGTGACAATTGTGATCGTCTTTGGTGGAACAACAACGGCGGGAACGCAGGGTTCAATTTCTAGAAGACAAATTAATGTTAATGCACATTATCTTATTCGGTTTAGGAGCATGTTGTTCTGTAGTCGTCTCACTCGTGGCAGCATAAACGGTGGCCCACACGAGGTCACTCTGATCCAAAATTTCGCACTTGATCCTGCCCAAGGTCGAGTTGAGGGTATACGTTCGGGAGAGGGACGTGACGTGAGAGCTGTAGCCCGCATTCGACTCTGGCCCCAACCGCATCATGAGGATCCGCTTGCTGTTGGTGGTGAAAGTGCAGGTGAAGTCGATCTCTGTGTCCTCGCAGTCCCGCACCCAAAATGGGTCGAGTGTCACGGTGATCACCTCTGAAGTAAATTATTCACATTTAAGCAATCACTGGTTAAGCAGTTAAAACCAAATCGACTTGCCTCGATCTTGACACCGCTCTCCCGTAAATCCGGGTTTGCAGGAGCAGTGAATATTTCCGTACGAGACGTGGCATCCCAATGCGTTCCTCCCACACGGACACAACTTACAGGCGCCAAAGACACTTGTCGTCATGTCCGTCGCGTCTCGGTAGTATCCCACCGAACAACTCTGAAATTCACTCCATTATTAAACTGCATTGCTCCATAAAGATAAAATATTAACTAGTCCACACCTCGCAGGAGAGCCCTTGATATCCCGTTGGACACCTGGCCTGCTCAATGACGAGGACAAATCCCAGCCCAGTGTACCATTTTGAGACGGTGCCCAGGGCCACGTCTCTGATAGAAGTGGACAGCGTGGTGCCCGTGAAGGTGGCTCGGATCTAAAAAATAAAATATCAAACAACATTTTACTAAACTCGAGCATTTGTTAGGAGTTTTATCTGGATTTGGTTCTACTTTTAAACCCAAGCCAATAAAACCCACGCTCTTCAAATGATAACTAGGAAAATTATCGTAGGCTATTTCACATTAAGTGCTCTACAATATCATCTTCAATATTGTGTTACTAATTTACTTTTCACTATAACTCCAATTTTTTGAACTCGGGCTTAAATTAAGATTTTAATTAATATCGTTACCAAAATTAGGTGAACATCCGCGAGAACTTCAAGGATGTCGAATCTCGTCGCGACCCGGGAGTCCCCATTTTTGTAGAAGATCATATGCGTCGACTCGTCCAACAGGACTTCCAACTGTCACACGGATAAGATGCGTTTAACCCTCGAGTAAGATTTTTAAATAAAGGACATACTTTTTCCCAAAGGCCGGTCGTCTGATTGCGGAAAGAGCTGTAGTAGAGTCGCGCTCCGTTGCCGCCCACGATGATGACGTCGTTGTCTGGTCCCAAACCAGCTCCGCTCCCAGTAAACATTCGCGAAAAACGCAAAATCCCTCCGTAAGAAGTCAGCTGAAAATGCAAAATCAGTATGAATTACCCTTATAAATCAGAAATTACGTATAGTAATCACTTACGCGATTGCCCTTGAAGCAGCCCGGAAGTGACCAGAACAACCTGGTCGACACGGTCAAACTGAGTCTCGCCTCCTTCCCATCCCAGCTGAATTTCCCTCTCGAGTCGCTGTTGTACACGATGGTGCTGGCCCTAGGAATTACGACGAGTTTGAGTACCTACGTAAAATACATGACAATTTCATAAAGTGGACGGTCATACTCGTCGGTGAGCTCGATGGAGCAGTCGCTAGTTCTCGAGGGTTCGATCCAACTTCTGTAGAAAATGGCGGCGCTACAATAGGACGACACGCCGGAACCCCAGCACGGAATGCAGCCCTCAGTCCGATTCCCAGCAAGAGCAAAGTAGCCGGGTTTGCAGGTGTTGCATCGTTGTCCTCCCACATTGGTCTGTCATGAAGGATGACCATTATCAAAATATGAAGTCTGAATTTCAATTAAGCAAATACGTACCTTGCAGAAGCAGGTTTCCCCGTACTGACTCACAGTTCCTCGTGGATCACAAATGCACGGGAGGGTTATATTCAGCCCAACACCAGGACAAGTGACGTCCAGCCGGCAGTCTGGGCACTGTGGACAAGCTTTGCAGGTATCTGGACACGTGACATTGCATCCTCCGCCGCCCGGATAGCATGGAGGGCAAGGGTTTGGACAGGGGTTGCAAGGAGGAATCTGAGGACAGTTGGGACAAGGGGGACACATGGGGCAATTTGGAATATCAGGGCATCTCTGACACGGATCTGGACACTGATTACAAGGCCCGGGGTTTGGAATTTGTGGACATGGAGAAGGACAAGTCGAAGGGCATGTAGGACATGGGGGACAAGGGAGTTGAGGAATAACTGGAGTTATGGGACAGTTACCATTCGGGATACATGGTTGAGGAGGTTGAGGGGGGACAGGACAAGGGTACGGAAGATTTGGAAGACATGGCTGTGGTGGAGCGGGACATGGACCATTGGGGACACAAGGCTGTGGTGGAACAACGGGACACGGGACAGGACAAGGTTGTTGTGGTTGTGTGGGAATACATGGATTATTTCCTGGTATTGGGCACGGGGGGCACTGTACAGGTTGTGTGGGACAGAGAATTGGACCAGGACCAGGTATTGGGACCGGACATGGTTGTGGTGGGACAACAACAGGCTGAGGCCATGGATTGGGAGGACTTGGAACTGGGCAGGGTTGGCTGGGATAGCAATTGTTGGTGGGACATGCGGTCTGTTGTGGTGGCGGCGGGATGAGTGGGGTTCCCACCACCTGAGAAACTGGCTGAGCGGGACAATAATTCCCTGGAGGACATCCCGGACTCACCACGCTGCTCGTCTGGTTGACCCGGATGCAGTTGTAGGGATACTGGTTGGACTGCACGGCCCCTGGAGCACATTGGCTGCAGTCACGACCAGCATACCCCTCGGGACACTGGCACGTTATCTGCCCATCCACATCCACTCGACAGGAAGTCCCAAAGCTAAAAATACCACACAAATAAATGACCGATAACAACAGCATTGGGCAGGTTTTATGTAATCAATAGAATGAATTTATAGCACACTTTCTGTCCGTGCTGGGACATGGGCACTGGTTGCATTGATTCCCCACGAGGACATATCCAGGAGTACAAGACTTATTTTCAGGAACGCATGGTCCACACATTCCGTACGCACCCTGATCTCGCTGATAGCCGGGTGGACAGTTCTGTCATCAATTGAATTAAAACATAAATATTTTACCAGCTTTTCTATCCCTAACGAAATCACAGGCAAAACAGAACGCTACCAATAAAACGTACCCCACAGTTCATGGCAGTATTCCGAATGGGACGAACCAAACCGTTGGGATTGCTCCATTGTCCAAGAACGGATGAGAAAGTTGAGACAAGGAGAACAATTGATGGGGTAACCTGCGACATTTAGTAAATATTCCGTTATAATCTCAACGTTCCTTATTTTTTGAAACTTGTAGTCACCACCCACCAAAGAAAGGCGTAACCTAATCCGACCCATAGTCACAAATCTGCTAAAAACTGCAGCAGACGAAAGAGATTGAAAAGGAGGATGAAAAGGACGATGGCCAATTTAGCGTATAAAAACGGACGAATGAGTTTGTGTGTAGGTGTTGGCAGAGCACCCTCCCAGTCGACTCCAGGAGGAAAAGTAAGGTGAGCGAGGTGAACGAAAAGGGCGAATTATTGGTGATTGACTTGCCGTTGAGAGAGATCGGCTTATCATTTCATCCCATTTTTGTTAGACAGACACGAAAGTTGGCAGGAAAGCAAACACGCCAAAAAGATAACGTCCTCCCAGACAAAAAAATGATTCAAAATCCTTTTGATGTTGTTGTATCTTCAAATAAAGTCAGGAAAATATTTCAATTTGCACACAGGTTATTTTTAATATTAGCATCGGGATTGTCTGCCTAACAAAAAAAACGGACGAACTTCGCTGGAGACCTAGTTTGACGGAGTGACTCATTCTCAGTACCTTACAATTGACAAATAAGTACATATAACGTATTTTACATGTACATATATTCCACGATTCCTCATGTGTCAAGTTTTCTCATAATGAAATCCACGTTCACCTCACGTAATATTTTTCTCCGAGACAGTAAATCATACAAAAAATCAATTATGTAACAGATGAGACAGCAAGTATATGAGCACTCACTTTTTGTATTATTGCATAATACAAAAGTAAATGAAAGGAACACGGAAAAAGAATGAGAGATGACAAGGAAATCATAATAAACCTTTGTTCTGCAAATATTGTGCGCCCTCTGCCAAGATAACCAACGAACACTGTCCAAAGAAACTTGTTGACAGAGTAAAGTGATAAGTATTGTAAAATTTTGGCAAGTTCGACGTTGTCCGATAAGAAAGGTGACATCTTTACGGAACCATATGTACGATTTCTCATCAATGAGAACCAAGAAAACACAACGTCGTAAAATGATGCATCACAAAAAACGATTCATTCATGACTTGAGGTGACCGATTACAGTGAATGAATGAATGGCAGGCAAGAATTTTTATTATTTTTTATTATTCTTGACCGCTGCTGAACTGTGTTTGCAAAGTTGTGTAAAGTTGACCCTTCGGAAAGGTGTGCTGATGAATTTGTGAAGGAGAATTGGAATATAATAATGATATGTCGCAGAGATGTGTCTTACTAGGGATACCCTTTCTATGATAGTTGAAAAATGAGTTCTAATTTAACTTTTTGCATGCACCAAGATATGTTTTGATTGCAAAGTGCAAAAATTTTTCTGCAAAACCAATTTGCTAATTTTTTAATAGCCTTCAAAGTTGGCGAAAGTGGGGGTGGAATAGGTGGAGTGGGAGCGGGTGGAGATGGGGGCGGTCGTGCCCCCCACTATACACTAACCACCTGTGACGGTCATTATTATCTGTGTGACCCAAGGAAATCCATCAGTAACTTATGTTTGATAAATTTAGTAACTCATGTTTACTTGAAATTTAATTAATTGTAAGAAAATTTAATTAAGTGAATGAAAAAAATTGATGCATGTTGATGGCATTGTGGGCAGTGGTAAGATCAGTTTGCCCAGTTTGCGCACCAAATACTTAAATCCTATTGTTATTTTAGTCATCTGCTCTTTCTCTTTTGTTAAAAATTCTCTGAAAATTGTTCAATTAAGTAATCATATTAGCAATTACCACTCTAAATATGGCGAAAATCATTAAAGTGTGCGAATTGTGACTAGAATTAGTAAAACTAAAATATGACACCGCTGGAGTACCCGCTGGATAATTGACAGTGGCTTAAATCTTAACGACTTAGCAAGTGAAGGACTGATTTTAATCAAAAATTTACTTAATTTTTCAACCAGTACATGTGAAACGCTCGATGCATTGGAAATTTCCAGTGACGATGAAATTGACATTTACGGTGACAGTGCAGCTCAAACCGACGCAATTTCCGAAGAATCGTCATCGCAGGAATGGGAGGTTGAAAGTATCGAACATAATAATTATAATCTCGAAGAAATGATAAAGATTTAAAGTTTTACGACAGTGTTAAGTCAAATAAATTGTTTAAAACTAGACGACGTTTCCCTAAAATATCAACTTATGCAACAATTTCTCGGATGAAGACGTACATCGACCAGAATGGCAACAAACTGAAGAAGTTAAAAGATATAGAAGATTTTGTGTTCGAAAGATTTAATTTTGCAAGAGAATCTCTAATACACATTGGTGAAGTAGATTTAAAACGCTGGGGAATTATAAAATCTAAAGAATTATCTTTGCCTTTCAAAGCTAGTTCAACTTGGGTCCATAATTTTAAGATTAAACATAGAATTGTGTCGCGAAAAATAACCAGATCATAATGACCGTAACAGGTGGTGGTAGTGTATATCGAGGGATACGACCGCCCCCATCTCCACACACTCCCACTCTGCCTATTCCACCCCCACTTTCGCCAACTTTGAAGGCTATTAAAAAATTAGCAAATTGGTTTTGCAGAAAAATTTTTGGACTTTGTAATCAAAACATATCATGGTGCATACGAAAAGTTAAATTAGAACTCATTTTTCAACTATCATAGAAAAGGTATCCCTAGTTAGTGGACTAATTTTAATTAATTTTTCCTTTTACTGCAAAAATGGTCAGTAAGTTATGTAGGTACTAAATTATAGTCTATAGCAATAATTGCATAAGTAAGCAGAGTGTAACTGGAAGAATATCTGCATTTACTTACTGATGACATCAGACATGGGATTAAATGAATTTTGAGCGTTTCAGTGTTGAGCCAATCTGATGAGTTTTAGTTGTTGTTTTATACGTTATGCTGTGTCATGTCCTCATCCCCGGACAGGTCATGCTAATAATAACCATTATATAAATACGTTACATAAGCCAACTCATGAAGCTCATGAGAACATCGAATAACCAATCTCATCAACAAGTGGATGCAATTATTTAAGTATTTTTGGTAGAAAACTGTTAGACTTTATTATAAAATAAAAATGGCGTCAAACATTGGAATTCGTCGTATAAAAATTAACACAATAAATGCAAGAAACAGGACAGAAATCTCAGGTCGCGTTGAGGTCGTCGTATGTGGCAGTTGTAATTTTGATCTCTCCCGGATGTCGATCCGACTGTTTGCTCCCACGTCCGACCAACGGTGCCTGCAAGGAATTACTTGTTAATAAAAATTCATTTAAATGTGGGAGTTATTTTTCGATTGGTTTTCTACCTTGATCGAGATAACTTCATTGTCCGCAGCACCAGTTATTACAGCACAACCCAGAAATCTGTCTCGAAACACCTTCTTCTCCCACAGCTAAATTCGTGCAAATTATAAATAATTAGCAAATTTCACACATATTTAGACCATAATTATCTCATAAAAATGCTCACCTCGACAAAAATGGGCTTGCAAACGTCATAGCGGAAAAATACTCCAGACAAGTTCCACAACGGTTCTTGAGAATTGTAGACCACGTCCGATTCCAACTTTTGACCCTCGACTTTGATGAGACAGTACGTGTTCTCGTTGACGACCAAGCCCGTGGCTCCCTCCACCGTGATGAGGGTGACGCAAGAGGGTGGGGAGCAGAAGGGGGCACAAATCCAGTACGGTTCTGGGTAGTCAACTTTCAACTCTCGCACTTTCACCGTCTCCTCCGTGAACATTCGGAGCATGAACTGCGTCTCAACGTTGGGTTCGAAGGTGGTGGGGACGAGGACGTGTCTCCCCTTGTTCAACGGTCCCTGGAAGAACATGCTCCGCGATTTTATATAGTCCGACGTCACTGCCTTCTTCTTCACTTTGTGGATCCGATGTTCCCTGTTCTCTTCAACCTTCATGATATGGAAGCCAATACTGGAGTAGACGGTGGACGAGGAGCTGTCCGTGGGCGCAACTACCTGTCCACGCGTGTCCGTCTGGACAATTTGGACGATTAGTTCCATGTCATCTTTGGGAACGTCAAAGATGTATTGAGGGTTCTGGACGAACGTGTCATGATTGGGGCAACCGCCGGCGTGATTTGGTCGTGTCCACTCTCCCAGAAAGAACGTTTCACGCCACGTCTTTCGAAAGGAGAAGAATGAAGTGTTGATTAAATGACAAATGGACAGATCCGTAAACTCTGCGACAAAGTCTTCAAATGGCATCCTGAAAATGCACAAGGGTCAAAATATTCCCATCCAAAATTCAAATGTATTCACCAGACCATGACATTTATTAAAATTGTGACATGAGAGAATGACATACCAGAATTCACCATCATCTTCAAATGTGAGTCCCAGCTTTTCCTTCTCACTCTTGGAAATTCGGGTCCATTCGGGCGATCTAGAATTGAATTGCAGACATTGTTCCACGGTGTAGGCAAATTCAGAGCTGGAGCTGGAGCCGACCGACCGACCCCCACGCACAGAAGTGGTCGTGACCTCCCCAGCGGACTTTTCAGACCCAGAGGAAGCAGACGCCTCCAAGTTATTGTTTGTAGCAGACCCACCACCGCCACCACCACCACTGCCCATCAGCCACAGAAAGAAGCAACATAAAAAAGTAACCAAATTAGGAAAAAGCGTATAGGAAATTAATTGCGGTGTGAGGAAAAAAGAAAGATACTCATAATCATAGACGTATATAAAAAATAAATATTAAGCGACGTGTATCGATTGCGACATGACCCCGACATAGCAAATTAGCCGTGGAGAGAAGAGGATAAAATCTGTACCCATCACTGAAGGGTCCATTCCATTCCTTCGCTCCCCACGGATTCCTCAGCCGCAAGAGGGTCAGCTTCTCCCCAGTCCTGGATCACAAGAGGTGAATCACAGTAGTTGTATCAAAATGATCAGAAAAAATATATTATCAGATCAGAAAATAATTTAGGTGGGCTAACTTGAAAAGCGATAAGAGTCCAGCAGTCCCCAGATTAATGTCTCGCACTGCCGTGATTCCGTACGCGTGACCCATAATCAGCCCTGTTTTGGTCCTCGCTTCAAATTGTGAAGAGTCCATCGCCTAAATAAGTGACCGAAATTAGACTCAAAGGACGTGCTAAATAGTCGACATTTGAAGTGTGTACCGCAATGGCACAGCACATGAGTGCATGCTCGTCATGCTTCCGAAGCATCTGTTTCCTCAGAAGGTTCCTTTTCTCCTCGTCTACTTTGTAGCCCCCATTTTTAAGATCCACCATTTCCGACAGCCCGGATGTGAAGTCGACCAAGGCATCGCACAGGTTACCCCCGTCCATTGCACCGTAAGATCCACACAGTCTGAAAATGAGTAAAAACACCCCACACGATAATATCAGTGTATGTTACGGTACAGCGCATAAGGTAACAAGAACCCTTGATAATAAGTAATTAGGCCTCACTTGGCATACGCTTTCTCCAGCAAGGCACTCCAAAACTCATTTTCCGTCGTGGAGTGACAAAAAATGAGCTGACCGTCGACAGTGGGGAGCAAGTCGTCCACCACAACATCCAGCCAAGTTCCAAATCTCCAGAACCGGAAGTGGAAAATGCCGGCATACAACTCAGCCCGGACAGGGTCCCATTCTTGCATCTTGTAATCGGGCACAACCTCAGACCAGAGTGCTGAAATTTGCATTTTACTTTGAATTGAACATGCGTTACCCATTGTACTCTAATTATTAGCATATTATTATGTATGAATAGCAACCTTTCACGGTAGCAAGGGCGGAGCAAGCCGCCACGAACCAGCAGTTGCCTAACCTTCCTTGGGTCACATCTTTTGAAGACGCCTTCTCCACAAAGAGACGCGGACTGTCGCACAATTCCTGCACAAAAAGTAAAAAGACATCAGAACTTCTTGCACAAATCAATGATTATGTGTGTGTACCGTGGGTCGTTTCCAGACCACTCTGCCGTAAAGACCACGACTCGAACTCAGATTGAGACTGTGGTCGTTGGCAGGGAACAAGGGGTCTTCAAAAAGTTCCTTTGTCGCAATGCAGTTCCGCCGCAACTTCCCATAGCTTTGAGCCTTGAACTTTTCTATTTGCACCATTCTCACTAATTTGTCATATAAAACACGTAATAAGGCACTTCTACTATAGAAGAGGTTGTCGAATTTAGATTTTTAGTCTCATAATCACGTCAGTCTTGAAGATTATTATTTACGACCATAAATACCAGAATGGTAAACTGCATGAGCAATTGAAAATAGTAAAAAATAAATGCAGTTCCGTCGTCCAAAGAGAAATACACGGTTGGAGATTGTTGTTCTTTAAAGAATTATGTTGAGTAGTTAAATTAAATTGACTTTATTGTGAGATTTGTGACTGTACAGCGAGTCGACAGAAAATATTTGACTTCACCACTTACTGCTTGATGCACTTATTCTGCATAATGTTATGTGTATGTGATTGAGTCAGATCTGACTGATCCGTTCCGTCGGGGTTTAATATTTCGCTTCGTTAAGAGAATTACGTGATTGCGTATTTTATTTTATTGTCCGTGAATCATGGTGATGACGAGTGAGACACATGTAATGTGGTTATGAGCAGACCAGCAGAAAAGCAGAAACAGCTCCAGAGCAGCAGCAGCAAAATATCAACAAGTTTTATCGCTATTGTTTGTTTTTTATGTGATGATGACCTCAGCCGTTCCGTTCACAGCATAATAATATTTACCATGTATGCTTCGTCGTCGTCGTCACTAATATCCCACCGGCCATTCTTCTTAACACTGCTGTGTAACGAATGATGACACTGCTTCTTCTCCAGGGTCACACATTTGATATGAAATTCCACTAATAATATTGCACAGAATGAAAACGAGAATATGCGTCAACTTACAGATGTATATGAATTCACTGTTGAATGACAAATAAACCACGGCCTTTATGATGCTTAAGATGTAAAGACGACACTTGATCTACAAAATTGCATAACGCGTCCAACTACACTACACTCGACTTATGTAAAGAAAATACGAGGCCCGATTAAAATTTAATCAAATGAATTGTACAACAATTATTTGAATGCTACTGAATAAGCGATCTCCAGTGGAGAAGAGATTGGAATTGACAAGATGAAGAAATCGGCACCACACGACCAGCCGGTTCAGACAATGCAAATATGCAAGAAGAAGCGTGCAATGTTGAATAAGGGAAGAGATTCAAAGGATGTCGGAATCTGTGTGTGCTAAAATCTCAGCCTACAATACATGACACTAATGAAAGTATGTGTACGAGTATATAGCAGTGAATGCAAATAAGAACTCTGTGCTCACACATTCGCTTTGTAAGTACGTCTGTAGAAAGAAGGTTTTCTGCTCTCTATTTCTATAAGCACATTTTTTGCTTCGTCTTCCATTACACACAAGTAAGACAAGTTATATAACAACGTTGCGACAAACTGAGACGAAATACACCACACACCACACCACCAACTCTTCTGTCCACTCACTCACTCACTCGGGACATCGCACCAAACGGCTTCCTTCATATTCGACATGTACCGAATCCACTGGTTTGTAGCTGAAATGTCATGTCACAAATGTCAAAGAGCTATGAAAATGTCAAACTGGACGATATAAGTACATTAACATACATGTGGTGCGGTAGTACACGCCTGGGTGACCCTTAAGGGCACAACCATCGCCCCAACTTATGATGCCCACTTGATACCAGCCTGAAAAGAGAATATTTTTGTTACAAAATAAAACATTTGTGTAAAATTAGGAAGAATAAGTTTAATACTTTGAGGTCGATATTCAACAATCAATGGACCTAGAAAGAAGCATAGTTTTTTTTAGTTATTGTACCGTCCATGCATGCATACAGGTTAATTTCATACGTCTTACCACCACTGTCACCCTAAAAAATGTATGTGTGAATTGAAATAATTCAGTAACAAGCTAATTGTTATGGAGGAAAAGTTTTAGTTACAGCGCAGGAGTCCTCGCTGGCGTCAAAGTAGGCAGCACACAATTGTCGTTTCGTGGAGACGAGGCGTTCACCAAAGACTTTTTTGCATTCGGCAGGTTTTGAGACCTCCACCGTGATCTGCTTCATCTCTGTGTTTGTCCCCAAGGCGGTTAAACTGGGCAACCCCCATCTGGACACACAACGCGTATCAACAGATTCCTGTTGTGTATATCATGAAATTTCAAAAACATATTTATGAACCCTGAGATTGCCGCTGTCCATCCGGAATATGCGTCCACGTCGTACATCAGGTCAGGAAGGCAGATGGGGCTGTACTCCTTGAAGGCTGTGATATTGATGGGTTTGGACAGTATCATCACTGCAGTGTCATAGTCACTTGTGCTGAAATAAATAAATCTCAATTAAATAAATATTAGCAACTTGCACATCATCAGCTAAAATTGGCTTCTCACTCTGAAACATAAAGCGGATGAATCCAGATTCTGTCCACGCTGTAGCGAAACGACCCATTTGCAGCGTCCAGCTTCTGCAGCGTTTCTTCATCATAAGTTCGATATACGACCGATGTCCTGTTGAAAGGTTGCAATCAGAACTAAAATGTCAGCATATAAGATCGAATGTCACACGAATTTCTATGTAAATGGTGTACTTGATAACGTTAATATTTGGCATGGGGTCCATTAGGTACGCGTTCAGTACAACATGCGTATTTTTGGCCTGACGGAACTTGCCCTTGAAACAATGTCCGGCAGTGAGGATCATACGGTCGTTGATAACCTGACGGCAAAATGGTATTGAATTCTGGTTGATAATTGCATAGCAAAATAGTTTTAACACATTATTTGGTTTACACTGCCAATGCAATACGGTTGCCTCGTGTCTTTCACAACCATTGCTGCAATCCACGGAAATTCAGCAAAGTACGTTTCGTGACCGCCGATAATCCTGGAATTATATAATTAGAATATATCAGGACATATTCTAATTATAGGATATCCTGATATATGTATATATATTCTAATTATATCTAATTATCCTGGAACAGTATATTAACCAACCTGTTCCTTGGAGGCTTTTGACCGCACACTACGTCATCACACCAATAAATTGTTAGCTGATACTTATAGGTATACTACAATAATGGCCAATTATGCGTATGCATATGTTTAAGAACTCACTACAATCAGGCTTGATTTTTGGCGTGAGTACTTTTGGCAAAAAGTTGGCTTTATCTGCAATCCAACAGATTTATTTTAAGGAACGCAATTATGTGCACAATTTCATCCGACTCTTACTCTTTTCTCCACATGCAACGGTGCACTCAAATTTAGCAGGGAACATGCGATAGTTGTTTTTGAAGATGATGTAAATTTCACGAAGTCCGTCCTGTTGAGCAGCCACCATGTTCATCGGGCCCGTTTTTCCGCAGTAACGCTTACTCCCTGCAACCCCATCCGTGACCTCCATCCATTGATCCACACATTTTCCATCAAAGTCTGGAAACGCCAAACTGAACACGGGACAAGCGATGGACGGCATGCAATCATCGTCCGCCTAAGTATTTTGGGCAAAAATATAAATAAAAATTATATAATATTCGTTTGTTTTTTATCCTTTTTGTCAAGTATTACAGCGATGGTCCACTTAAAGGTTGGGTTGGGGGCCGTGGCGTTGGGCGTTGGAAGTGGAGTGTGGACAATCTTGAAGGGGTCCATCCCTTGCTTGAGATATGTCTTGTCATTTGATTCAAGACCGTCGTCAGGATCTAGCGTTATACAATTTGTGTTACTAACAGTTTACGTGTCTAGTTGTCAATCTTGTGTCCTTATTTCAAGGTGATACCTAATCACAAAGTAGGCAAGGAATAACTTACAGTATTTTGGACCAGGGGTGTCCATCTGCAATCAGAAATAAGAGGGACGATATGATGATTTAAAAAATGAGAGACAACTGTGCGAGTAGTGACGTACCGGGACCGTATCAGTATCCTTAGAAAATGCATACCAAACGCATAATGTCAACACAACTGGCAGACAAGAAAATGTTGTGAAACTCATTTCAATAGAATCAAAATACAGTTTGTGATGAAAATAAATCTTGCACCAGGGGTAAGTTATACCGTATGAAACCATAAAATTCGTATAATAACGAGCTGAGCGTATTTATTCAAGGTCACAAATCATAAAATTTAAATAACGCAGGCAGGCAGGCTAACAAAACAATGTAATATTAAATACAATTAAGGTTAATAACGAAGAAAAATGGAACAATGGAGTTTCATGGATTGGAATTTTATGTCCAAGATATTATTCTCAACCTGTTGTTATTATTTGCCATAACTTCCTCCTCCATGTGGGTTGGAGTGAGCACCGCCGCTCACAAATCGTCCATAAGCACCGATTGCGCCAGCAGTCGTTCTGTACAATAAATAAAGCATTAGGGTCAAAAGTGTCTGACATTTTTTGTCGGTGTTTAGTAATTACTTATTGTATTGAAATTACCCTGAGCCGAATGTGTTGTAACTTCCAGAGAATCCAGTAGCAAAGAGCGACTGGAATGGGGTGGGTCCATTCCCAAGACCCGGAATAGCATTTCCAGCCTCAGCACCTCCGAAAAACAAAGCGCTCACCAGAGCAGAAATAAGGACGGAAAGAAGAACAAATTTGGACATGATTGCAGAGCTAGCCTTAAATTCAAATCTCTCAAAGAAGATGATGGTACAAAGTCGTAGTGAAACTAATATCGTGGGGACATCTCAATTTATAGCCCTCTTTACGCACCAATTGCGTATTCTCTTAATTAATAGTTGCATCAAACACAAATATAAACAACAATTCGAATAAAACACTAAAATAGTAGGTACCAAGATCCCTAACGATTAAGTCACTATATATTGCGTCACATGTAAACAAGATCAACCAAGTGGAACCTTCAGCACCAGTCTCAACTAGTGATTTGTAGTATATAATTTATATTGACTACGAAACAAATGTGCTATTTGCAATGCTTGAAATTGACTACATTCTCAATTCTCTTTGCAACTTGGAAAATACGTGCTTCACTAAATCGTGGTCCGATAAGTTGCAAGCTAATTGGAAGACCTGACATTGACAGCTTTATAGGGATGCTTAATGCTGGTAAACCTGCATAAAAACAGAGTTGCTGAATGATATACTACATTAATGTCATTTCAAGAATATGTATCTTACCAGCCATGTTTGCAGGTTGAGTACAGAAATCCTGCACGGAACTCTGCTTTCTGTTATCCCATTGAATAAACTCGCTGTAGGTGGGGGCTGTGGTCAGCGTTACGGGCGTCAGGAGAAGATCGCACTCTGATTTCCAAACATTATTGAAATCATTTGTAATCAAACGTCTGATTTTTAACGCTTGTATAAAATACTTGTCGTAATTTCTGAAAAGATTAAATCACTTCTAAATCGTGCACTTTTCTTATGCGGATGAATTACCGTTACCGTTTGAGTAGAAAGTAATTTCCAGCTAAGATTCGCCCTCTTACAACAGAATTAAATCCTTCGTGTCGTGTTTGAGCATAAAGTGATTCTGTGGAGTCGAGTCCTTTTTTGTGCGATCTGTGACCATATCTTACGCCATCGTATCTGGCCATGTTACTCGCGACCTCGCAAGGGTTTAGGACGGAATAGCAGACAATAGAGTATTTGGTGTGAGGCAGCGATACCTATTTTAGTAGATATTAGAATTTAGAATACGTTGCACATAGATTTATGTACATACAAAATGGTTATTATGTTTCGAACTTCTAGAACATTTGCTCCGTCTTTCTCAAGAAGGCTAGCAACCTCTCTCCAACATGAGATGATTTCTGGGGACATTCCATCACATGCATACTCTTTGGGAAGTCCTATTCGAATATTTTTTACAATTCCATCTTCAGAGGGGATTGAATCCGTTGTAGGAATTTGGACACTGGTAGAATCAGAACTATCCAAACCTTTGATTACATCTACAAAGAAAATTTGAAATATTTAAGTGAGCCACTGTCAGTGTGATAAATAAGTGATAATTAGAAAATTGGATCGTTCATGATAGCCTATTTATACCATAAAGTACAGCACAATCATCTACTGTCCGACTCAGAACACCAGGCACGTCCATGGAATTGACTAGAGGAATTAGACCATATCTGGATAAAGATCCGTAAGTTGGCTTGAGCCCATAAACTCCGCAATATGATGCAGGATTTCTAATTGATCCTCCTGTGTCTGATCCCAAGGCACTGGAAAAGTTAATTTCATAAGCAAACCAACAATTGCGTTGCTTCACAAAAAGTGCAAAATATACAATACCCTAAACACAATCCTGAAGCAACTGCGACCGCGCTCCCTCCAGAACTCCCACCTGTGGAAGTGAAAGTGCTTTCCATTTAAACCAGTCATACGTTGTTATCATTATTACAATCGTAGATAGGAATACACAAGAAATGCTCAACCCTCAGCTACTTAAGAATAAGCGTGGTGTCTATCACACAAATAGAACGTGATAAGAAACCCATTTTTGCTGTTTGCTTGACAGCTTCTATCGTGGCTCAGAGTTCAAACAGGCAGCACGATCAGAATTTTTGTTCCATCATTTAATTATTTGAACCTAAATAATTTATCGTGTCGAATAACGGCATCCTCTCCACGTTTCTAGTGCTACTTCACCCTTCACCAATATTTAGGCAGAATACTCTGCCTAAATATTTTTACTAGTTACCTCTCTGGTCTGGTTATTTTTTCAAACAATTATTCACAAACAATATTAGCTTAGCATACCAGGAACATGCCAGTCATCAAATGACAAAGAACTGCATCTGTACTTTTCTAGCCCCCAAATATTCTTTGTCGGTCCAAATATGCTGTCCACCGTCCCATTCCTGAATTAGCAAATTCAAACAATTCATAACACAGACCCAATTTAAGAGTAAAAATATAAAATTCTTTACCCCATTCCAAACTCGTCCATATTCGTCTTTCCAATAATTATGGCCCCAGCATCCACTAGTTTTTGAACCACTGTGGCAGTGTATGGAGGAACAAAGCTATAGAGCATTTTAGATCCGCATGTCGTAGGCATTTGAGAGACACAGAAATTGTCCTTGACTGCAATTGGAACCCCTTCCAGACGAGGTCTCGTCGGAGGAGTTTTCGAGCCATTTTGTTTACTGAGGTCTTTTTTTGCTGTTACGAAGGTGAATGCGTTGAGGTGCCCGGCTTCTCGAATTCTGAACACGGACGCCTCGGCCAACTGAGTTTTTCCTACGGCCCCATTCGCCACCAGTCTCACCGCCTGCAAATAATATGTAACCAGTTTCTTTTAACATCATTCGGCTTTTAACATAATTAGTTATCCATTTAGGTAACTAAATTCCACCTCCTTAATGTTGTGGGGCAAGGTGGCCATCATTGCAGTACCCGGGACAAGAACACAAGGACGACTCCTCCAGTAAAAATCTCCTCTCGGCGTTGTAGTAACTTGTACTGCAAACAAAATAATACTCAACTATTTATCTCTCATTTGGTATTAATTGTTAATTAAATGCTTATAAATTAAACGCGTATATTTGTGAGTTTGATCAGAACAATAATTTACATTTCAGTTATTTTTGCAGGCTAGGCTTACTGGGAAGAGAAATGTTGAAGAGACACTTTGCATCAGGGAACTTGCTTAGGATTTTGTCCCTGTTGGGCGACAGTCACCTTGGCCCTTGTCGTCGAATAATAAGAATTCGCCACCACCACCACCGGCGGAACTTCAGTCACTTCTCCAGTAGCAGTACAACAACTTCATCAACAAAACCGGCTGATTCTCCACCACGCTCAAAGTCGGATGCGAGGGGTGAGCTGAGAAGTTGGCAGATTCACGCATACTCTGGTATCGATGACCTTCAGGCGTCCACGTCTCGCATCCCACCCATTAAATCCCCCACCGACGTCCTCATCCGCGTCCATGCTTCCTCCATCAATCCCATCGACATCGCAATGGTAAATGAGGAACATGACTGTTAGTTACAAGGAATGGTCATTTGAACTTCACATTTTTTTTACAGACCAGAGGTTACGGAGCCGACACGCTCAACCTCCTCCGAGGATTGTGCAGCTCTGAACAAAGTAAGGGGCCATTTGGGCTTCAGTCCTTGAAACAGTTGTCTCTTCCATTTCGTCGTGGGGCTACAACAATCGAATTCCCTTTAACGCTGGGGAGAGATTTCTCGGGGGTTATTGTTCAAATGGGACACGAGGCCAGAGGAAAACATGGACTCCGAGTGGGGGACGAAGTCTTTGGCGTAGTGGGAGTTCAGAGACAAGGAGCTCATGCGACCTATGTAATCTCATCGATTGACACGGTGAGTATTAAATTAGGGTTAATCTCAAGGAAAGTTGAGATTAAATTATTGCTATACAGTAACTTACTTATTATTATATTATTGACAGATCCGCCAGAAACCGAAAAACATGAGCTTTTTGGAAGCTGCTGCAATCCCGTATGTTGGTCTGACCACTTGGGCAGCAATCAGGGTAACGGGAGCATTTTCTAATTTGAACGGAAAAAGGTTTCTAGTTTTGGGCGGATCAGGAGGGGTTGGCACGTTTGCAGTCCAATATTTGAAATCTCAAGGAACGCATGTATGTATAATAAACGTGCTTAACATCCAAAAATATAAAATGGAAATATGTACATGTCAATACAATGTATAAATTATCCCCGTAATTTTTAGGTGGTCACTACATGCAGTTCTGAAGCTGAGGCTCTAATGACCTCATTAGGATGTGACTTTGTGATCGATTATAAAATGCAAGAGTTTTCAGAAATGGTTAAGCATTACTCACCGTAAGCACATACATATAAATGATAACCAAATCCGGAAAGTGAGACATTTATTTCGTATGTATATTGCTAGATATGACTGCGTTCTTGACCTGTCTGGACCCACCAATTATAAAAAGTCACTAGAAACAATCCAGTATCTTAAAGCGGTCACCGGACAATACATAACCCTTTCACCTCCATTTTTATCAAACATGGATAAGTTTGGATTTCTAGGAGGAGCTGCAAAGAATGTTGGAGACTTGCTGAACAGCAACTATCAAAGTTGGAACAAGGGACAGTCAGTTACAAAGTGGGCCTTTTTCATTCCCAATGGGGCTCCGTTGGAAAATTTTACAGATTTGTTGCAATCAAAACGGGTACACATTCATTTCGAAGATCTATGACAAACGCCATCATGAAATGTGTCATTATTATTTTTACTTCATAAATTCCCCAGATTCGGCCAGTAATCCAAGAGTCATTCAAATTTGACGAAACAAAAGATGCCTACAAACGGGTGGACGACGGTCATTTAAGAGGAAAAATTATGTTAGACATGGAGGATTATGTTAACTCAAACTGAGCCAAACTCTGAATTACAAAGTCAATACATACGACAAATCAAGTATTCACATATAAAAATGATTTGATTTTCAGCATGAGAATTATTTACTAAAATATTTAGCATGTTCACGATTCCGTTGGGATTCATGAATATTTATAATGCACACTGACGCATTGTTATTTCCCGTTGCTGTCACATAATAGCATCAAAGATCGAGTCACAGGAGAGAGCTATGTATCTCTGGCAGAGTGAATGCACCCTGGATTCGTATATACTTCTGACAGAAGTGCTGCTGCTGTTGCTGCTAGGGTTAAAAATCATTTGAAGAGGTAAATCTAGCCCTGAGGTGGTTTCATTGGGCAATAATGGGCTGTATTGTTGGATACAATGGAAAAGAATTCAACAGGTGCAAGGCAGGTATTTGCTAGTGTTGGTTACGTACCCACTACTACGCTACCAAAAGCAAAAGAGGCGAAACTTAAGTTGACTTTTGAGATTCAATCGCTATATGATTTAATTGACTTTTCTTGTACATTTCGTACGTGCATTTAATTAAGTATTTATTGGTGACCAGAGTTTGATTATAAAATGTGAATACAGTGCACTTTGTATTGTTAGAATTTAAGAAATTACACAAATCTTGCTGCAGGAGTTGAGAAAAAGTGACAAGGATGCAAGAAATGTGGGAGTTGTCGTCAAATGTAGACCCATCCAATCGGAGGTACACGGTTCATTCCCAACAAACCGTGAATCCTGGAACGGAAGACCTTCACGCGTGGTCCATATATCGGCAAAATCTAAATTCAGACTTTACAGACTCTGCTTTAGGGTCGGAAGGTAAAGCTTATGGTTACGCATTAAGTTCAAATAGTTCAATGTAACAATTTTTGTATAATTTACAATTAATCAATTAATCGTTGATTAATTTACAGAGCGGTCGCCCCTGCCCTATGGAAATTTCCAACTCAGAGAACAAACAGTGCAATCAATCCTTCGACATCCCCGACTTGCTCCAAGGTGAACGATGACCTTATAGCATGGTTATCGTACATGTGCATCCTTTTCATCGTTCTGGAGCTTTTGTTTTAAATTATTAATGTCATTATTATATTTACCACGTAGATCTGAGCTGGCCAACAACATGTACGCCTACTTGAAATTTGGTCTACCTCGAGTTCTCCCACCGGGACCTGGAAAGGGTTTCAAGGACACGGCCAGCGAAATCCATGCATTGGACAGCGTCAGTGCTCGCCATCATCAAGGCGGAGGAGTGATGAGGGCGCGGTCGGAAACGGACCTGGTGAACGGAAATGGTGGTCCTGGTCATAGCGGTCATCACCACAACAATGGGGGTCCACATCCGATGGGACTCATTTCCAACAGGTTCAGAAAGCCTAACAAATCAAATAGTGAGAGCAATCTGCTCAACGGAGGTGATCATCCGCCTCGACCAATATCAAAAACTGGATCGCAGGTAAAGGTTGTGGGGCACTACATACCCCGCACATCATTCCCCCACATTACATTTCCCACGTATCATTTTCCCACAGTTAATATCTTCACATGTCATACCAGACACACCTCATTCCCCCACGCATCATTCCCTCACTTATCATACCCAGCACATTTCATTCTCCTCAGTTCATGCCTCCAGTTCATGTACATAGGTAAATGGGAAATGAAATGGATAAATAGGTGTTAGTTCTATTTTACTTCTCAACATTAATAAAAGCTTTATGTAATAACATAGTATAGTCAGTCAAATGTGGTCCTCATCAACAATTTTTTTTAAAATATGAGCAACCTTATTCCTAAATTTGTAAATCTAACTTTAAAATTCCCAAATTTAAAAATTGTAAAGCCAATTGTACAATTTTTAGCCCGAACCAGGGCTTATGTAATTGTCATGTCCGTCTGTCTGTCTTTCGATAACTGTCGAACGAGTTGACCGATTGACTTGGAATTTTTACCATATGCATATTGGACGAAGTTAGGAAACGGGTTCGAAGATGGGCGACATCGGTTCAGTGGTTGACCGGTGGGGGTCATCGGAGTGGGTGGGGTATTATGCACCAAAATTTCAAAATTGTCGAAGAAAGCTGAAATTCGGCACAGAGGTTGCTAATGGCTCTTAATGAAAGAATGTGAAGCGAAATTGGAAAATTTGTCAACCGGAGGTACCCGAGGGGGTGACCCATACCGATTTTTCAAAATCATCCAATCGAGCAGAAATTTGGTAGAGAGGTTGCTTTTGGTTCTTAATTGAAGAATATGCATAGTAATTAGTAAAAATTTCATCAGGAAGGACCGTATTGGGAGACCCCCACCGATTTTCACAAATTAACATAGAAAGCTGAAATTTGTACCAGAGATCCATACTGCTTTTTCACGAAATAATAAAGATAAGAAAGACAGACAAATGGACATGACAATTACATAAGCCCTGGTTCGGGCTAAACATTGTACAATTGGCTTTACAATTTTTAAATGTTATTAAATAAAGCTTTTATTAATGTTGAGAAGTAAAATAGAACACCTATTTATCCATTTCATTTCCCATTTACCTATGTACATGAACTGGAGGCATGAACTGAGGAGAATGAAATGTGCTGGGTATGATGCGTGGGGGAATGAGGTGTGCCTGGTATGACATGTGAAGATATTAACTGTGGGGGAATGATACGTGGGAAATGTAATGTGGGGGAATGATGTGTGGGGTATGTAGTGCCCGGACACCGCAGGTAAATATATATAAAATAAAACGAAAACTCCATTGGGTACATAATCTTCAAACGATTATTAAAACAATTGCTACAGGCGTCCTTGGTTTCTCGAAATTCGCGTCCCCATCAGAGTCACACGATGACGGGGAGTGCAAATCGTGGATATGTCGGAGATGAAGGAGACGAAACCTCACTTTTCGATTTTCCCCATCTTCAAGTAAACTGCGTTTCATTGTTGTCTGTCTTTAAATGAACATGTAGAAGTAAAACTGCTATCACTTATACACGTTTTTCGACCACAGGTTAGGAATATGGGGTTTGACAGTGGTCGTGGAAAGGCACGAATATTGGATGGGATATCATTTGACCTTCACGGAGGAGAATCACTTGCCGTCCTGGCCACAAATGGTATTACAACAAATGGAATGCAATTATATTGTCCCAGGAATCATGACTAATACATATTTTGTGACCTATCAGCACTGGAAGGCACGACCATGCTGGACATACTTGCAGGGAGGACGACGGGTGGGAGGGGTAAAGTGTATGGTGAGTTGGAGGTTGATTTACTAAACGCCCATTTTAAGCTATGTCTAATAAATAACAATAAATAATCTGCAGGTGAGTTCACTCTTAATGGAAACCCGGTCTCAGTCGATCGGCTGGGATCTAGAGTGGGTTACGTGAGGAAAGATTACCGACTTCACAAGTCCATCAGCGTCGAACAAACCCTATATTTTCACTATAACTTGAGAAGCAAGGACCTCACCACGAGTTATCTGAGTACCAAGGTATTTACGACTTTATTCTAAAATTCATCACGATTGAAGCAGGGTTCGCTACCCCGGGTTTTTGTGGGTAGGAGTTTTTGTGGGTTTTTGGGGTATCAAATGTCCGGAAAACCCCTCAAGCTTAATGGGGTTATTGCGGGTTTTTGTGGGTTTTTCCTGGGTTTTTGTAAGATTTTGGGCCAGATTGAAACAGTCCAGATTGATTCTTTAAACTACAACTGGAATCAATGAAAATTAAATTTTCGGATTCATGAAACATGAAATTTTGAGTATTTTATGAACCACTTGAATTTCCAAGTATCATTATGTATTCCAGGTTTTATTTCTGGTTTACTTGTTAAACGCGAACTTTTGACTTAAAAATTAAAGTCAATTAAAATATTGAAAAATTTATGAATATTGAATTAGTTTTACTTTAATATGGAATTTTAAGAATTTTGTTTCAACCAGCCTCATATTCTACAAACACCCATAAAAACCCACAAAAACCCGAAAAACCCTTGGGGTTGGGTATTTATTATAGAAAAACCCCGGGGTTTTCCGAACCCTGGATTGAAGTTACATATTTGGTTACCATTTTCTAACAACACATGTAGATCGGCGTCCTCTTGGAAGAACTAGGGCTTGGCTCAGTAAGGAAGAGCCTGGTGTCCACTCTCACCTCTTCAGAAAGGCAACGCTTGGTGGTCGCTTGCCAGTTGATAACGGGGGCTGAAATTTTGTGTTTGGACGACGCTACGGGAGGAATGGACATTTTTGACACCTTCTTCCTGGTGCAAACTCATATTGCTTATAGAAAAAAATAAAGATTTTCGATAATGAAACGATAATGAATTAAATTCTCATGCATTTCTAGGTGGAATATTTACGACAATGGAGCAATGCGGACACTGGACGAATTGTGATCATGACCATTCATCCGCCCACCTACGAAATATTTTCAATGTTCACCAAAGTCGCTTTAATGTCTACAGGTCGACTCTTGTTTTACGGGCATCGGAGAGAAATGCTCCCATACTTTGCGTTTATTGAGTACCCCTGCCCAGCATTTAAAAACCCGAGTGACTACTACCTAGATCTTGTAAAAAAAAATAACACTAGTGATGGAACTATTATAAGTTATGCGTGCCCATGCTGTTTGTTAAAAGTGTGCAACAATCTGTGTAGGTCACTTTGGACAACCTTTCTTCCGAGGCATTGCTTGAGTCCAGCCAAAGAATTGGTGAGAAACTCATTTAAAAAAATCCTATCAAATAAAATAAAATCAATCTCTAAAGGTTTATTAATTTCCAGAAACTCTGGCCGATTCATACAGGAGGAAGCAGGAAATGATTATGGACCCAGTAGGACCTCCACAACCTCTTCCTCCAAGAATTAAGAGTGCCGGCTTCTTACGGCAGTTTTATGCCTTATTGATGTAAGCAATGTTCAATTAATTTACACAATTCTAATTGTTCAATTATGGCACAACTGTGTGTTTTATAGGTCATGGATCGGCTACAAGTTCCCCTGGAATATCGTCGACTGGATGCTAATTTTGTTGCTAGCCACGAGTCTCAGCATTACAATTGGGGCTTTGTACTGGAACATTCGGTTGACTCAACATCAGGACCAGAACAACATCAGCGACAGGTATGGCCTCCACTGGGTTCTCATGGTTCTCCTCGCTGCCCCTGTGATCATCACCCTCTCGGCGAACGATACCAAGGATTTGGACTGTGTCACGCGAGACTTTGAAGAGAAACTTTACAGCAAAGCCGTCTATTTTATTGCAAAGGTCAGCAAGTGTCAGAAGTTGTTTCATTTACAAATAATCACACTGTATGATAAATGAATTTCCATGCAGAACTTGGTAGAGTTACCTTACATGATGTCGATATATCTGGCGTACGCCGTCCCAGCTTATGTTATGGCTGGCCTGAGTTCAGTGGATGCCAATTCTAACGAGCACTTTTACGCCTTTGTGGGTACGTGTGATTCCTACTTTCACGATAAATAAACCCTATTTACAAACAAGTGAGGCAAGCTATAAATTTTCCAGGGTACATGTTACTGTATCTGCATGTCCTCCGCCTAATCTTCCAAGGCCTGACTTACCTATTTCGCAACGGGAACGTAGCCATCACAATCTTCGTCCTCCTGCTCTTCGTCACCTCCATGGCCTCATCCTACACCATCCATCCCTCCGACCTTGGCGATTGGGTGAGCTGGGTCAAATATTTGTCCCCCGAAAGTTGGATTCTGCAACGTGTCGTGCACGATGAATTTGTGGGAGTAGAACAATTCAACTCTCCTTGTCCCCGATACCCGGTTACTCACGATAGCCAGGTTAAAAACAATTTTCACAAGTTTCAACATCAAACTAGAGAACTAAAATATAATTAATCTATACGAATTAAAATTATGTAGATTGTGACCCAGTTGGATTGTCGCATCAACACTGGAGCAAAAGCGTTGGACTACTTTGGGTTTTTGAACCAAGGTCCAATACTCATCCACTTGTTATCCGTGCTGGGTATTGGTTTCGTCTTTTACCTCGTAGGGTTCTTCTCCTTCATTCTACAAAGACAAGGCCTCGCCGTTCCTCCCATCGAGACCCCATGAATTTACTCTTTATCCAAGGAATTTGCGAAAAATTGAAAATTTGTACACTTTAATATGTATATTCGTTAGCATTACATTATGTATTTATTTATTTATTGATGCTGACTAAATAAGAATAAGAAGTATTCTTAGCTAAGTTTCATGTCCGTCTCATATTTGCTTGACTTTATTTATAACCACATACAAACATACAGGGAGTTTATGAGGAGGAAAATCTGTGAGAGGTCAATGACCGGGGCAAAAGTTGTTCAGAAATTTTCTCCCCTCCTCTCGACCTCCTTCCTCCACTAGTCACTCACCACCACTCAGGCCCACCAGTCGGGAGCTCCAATTATTTCCTGCTTCCTTTCTCAGAAATTAAAGTAAATTGATCGGTGGGTGTGGGTCGTTTATTCCCAAAAAACAACAAAAAAAGTTAAAAATACTTTTCTAGTAAAGACTTAGTGTAAATAGCACTTGTGTAATAGCACAATTCGACAATTTAACTTTTCTTCAACTTGGCAAATTTTAGTCAGGTTTATCAGAATATTTTTTGAAGTGAGAATGTCTAGTTCCAAACGCTTTCCTCCTGTACCATTTTTTCAAGAAATTTTGCCTAGTACGGAGTCTACGCCGATTCCCGAGACGAGCAAGAAGCTTTTGGGCTTGGGATCCATATCTACAAAGTCCTCAAATGTGACGTCGGGCAAAGAAAAGGGTCCAGAAAATGCTGCTGAAAAGAAGATACAACTGTTGGGACCCTTGCAGTACCTGAGAAAACGCAATAATACCAATGCTGCCAATAGTCAAACAGCGGTGTTAGCTCCATTGACACTGACCAAAGAAACGGTGAACCCTTTACAGTTCAAATATGAAGTTGAAAAGCGAAATAAACAAATCCACCCCACACATTGGCACCCCCTGTACTTCCAACCGGAGAACGAGAAACCAAAGGAGGGACGTGGCACTAAGGAAAAAGTTGAAACGATTGTAAAATACGAGACCTTCAATAAAGTCACTAGTTTCAAGAGTAACAAAACTCAGGAGGACGACTCAAAGAAGAAGATGGACATTGTCTTGTCTTCTTCTGGTTCAAATAAGCGTAAATCCAGTGAAATTGATCCCAACAATTTCCAACTTATCGGCGACATCCCATCAATGGATGTTTTCAAAACTTTTGTATTCAATCAGTATAGAAATACTGAGGAGCGTTGTATGTTGTTTTATGTATGTTAGAATTGCTTTTATTATCAAATACTAATTTAAAATTTTGGTTTTGCAGTTTCCGAATTGCAAGAACAGTTAGATGCCATGCTAAAGAAGGCAAGGCAGGACGTAATGGATCCGAATTATCCACTCAACGCGTATACAATGGTGCAAGGCAACCTAATCGAAGAGATATTTTATTGGTGCAAAACTCTCGACGTAAACACGGAGACATTTTTCAGAACGATAGAACTATTTGATAGGTCAGTATTAATTTTATTTTTACACAATGTGAGTGGATGTACATATAATTGTCAATTATTTGGCTGGTGTTGTGTAGGTTCTGTTGTCTGTTTAATGCAGAAATGACCAACCTCATCAAGTCAATGGATAAAGCTACTCTATCCGAGTGTAAGAAACGGATACTCCTTCAAAAACCTTTACGAATCTGCAGCTGCATAATGTTGGCTTCGAAGCTACATTCCAATTTAGAGTATCCGGTAAATATTTAGATGGACATGAAAATTAAATAAGATGATTACAATGAACTTTATTGCTTCTTTTAGTAAAGATATTTACATACATTCGATTTAATAATTCATATTGATTCTTACAGTCTGTAATGCTGCATAAAGTGAAGGAGGTTTTGTCGAAGGAAAATAAAGTTTTTACACTGAAGGCTGTGGCAGAATCCGAAGTACGAGTTTTGCGAGTTCTCAATTTCAGGGCCCTATGGGGCTCGCCTTATGATTTAACTGAACAGTTCATCGCCATGCTGGAACTCACGCCACAAAGATTGCAACATTTTTATGCTGTCGCCTTGTTATATCTACATTACAGCTATATTCGACATCCAGAGATTTACGCTAAGGTGGAAAGTCTTTATCGGGAATTTTGGCTACCGGCTGGATCTCAAGTAGCAACAAAGTAAGTAATAATCCGGTAGCTACTTATTCACTGATATGTTTTGGAATTGTTATTAAACAATTTATACAAAATTTCTACTAGAGAGGAGTTTAAACGCTCCATTGAATACAATGCCCCTCTACGAGCTGCTTCTGTCGTCGCTGCTGCTGGATTCCACGTCAATGAAAGTTTCCAGGCCTCATGCGTACAGAAATTATCAGAACTGATTTCAGAACCAATAGTTAGAATTGCAACCATCGCTCGCATTTTGCTGAATATGGTTTGCAAAATCCATCCCTATGATATATCCAAGATTGAATAACGGATTTCGTTTTAGTTCATTTTTGCCGTCTTTTTTAATTGCCTTTTTAACCAAATTTTATTATTGCACATTTTAAATGTGCTTTTAGATTCTACCTATTTTACCGAATTGAAGAAAATTTTTTATACCTTTATTTTTGTGGGCCAGTTCTTGTACCGATCATTTCTTTCTTTTATTGTAATGATATTTACGGCGTGAGGACTTAATATTCAAAACTTATGTTTTATAAATAAAAAACTAACGTACATGCCTTTCTAGTTTTCTATAAATCTTTATTTGGCAGTACTAATCTTAAGTATGTGGAAATGTTCACGTCATCTGTAAATAGTTAATCTACATAATTCTCAGCTTCAGAACCATCACAAAATTACTTATTTCAGGTAGAAGTTTAAAGTTGTTTAAATTTTGATAGGAATTTGGTTGATGTGAAAGTTGTACAAATGGTTATTTTTATTTCAAACCATGTTCATATGTCTCATCCATATACTATTTAATTTACTATTAGTAGCATTGGGTACTTGCATATTAGTTGCATTGCTATTGCGCATACTTATAAAACTTAACATTCTTCTACACACATACGCCACACGGAAATACCAAGTTGTACCCCATTCCATTTAGATCCAAAATGTGCTACTTAGCATGAGAAATGCAATAATATTCAGCTAGTTATATTGAATAATCCACTATCCATAAAGTATTATGCCTGGAGAAATTCAGATATTAAGTTTTATGAACTTTCAGCATATTGCTTCCCATTACTTATTTAAAGAGATCAACAAGTTCCACTTCTTGCCACTCCGCTCCAAGCGTTGCTCCAAGTTGAAAATACTTGAATAAAATAAATGCCATCGGTAAAATCTAACCTGAAAATCCCGAGCTGTGCTCAAAATGTTCCAGAGGTTCAACCACCACGGGAAATCAACTTCACAGGTAATTTTAGGTAGTGCAGCTAAACTGGTCTTAAATTATGTTGATCGTAATATTTACATAGCTCCAATACCGGGATGGCTGAAGGGGACGCTCTGGACGTCCGGACCTGGTACATTCGACTTGGAAAAGGGCTCTTACAAAAGCTGGCTGGATGGATTGGCTATGATCACAAAGGTCGAAATTGGGTCCGAATCTGTCAAGCTTTCCTCGAAACATGTACACACGGTTAATTATAAGAAAGCAGTGAAAGCGAAACATCCGGTCATTCCGGGGCTCATGACTCCCCCCGGAGATGATGACGCAAAAGGATTCTTCTCAAAATTCATGCCCTTTGTAAATAGTAAACATTTAATTCAATATTATTTAGTAATGCCTACATACTCTTAAATTATTAAATTCATTACATTTATTCTATAGGGACCTAACGATATTTCAGACAACTGCATTGGTGTAGTAACAAGCATCGACTCCAAGATGTACGTTATGGCCGATGGACCTACTATTTACGAAATTAATCAGAAAAATCTGTCCACCGTTGGACACTTTAACAGTCACAAAATTTTTGGTCTGAACAACATTTGTCCAGAAGTGATCAAAGACGTAACAACTGGAGATTTGTACGTGTGTGGCTCGACCCTCAAGGCCACCTTTCAAAACACCATTGTCAAAATGCCATTTTCCAACAAGAGCAAACGACTCGAGGAAGCGACATTGGTGGGTTCCATTCCATCTCGCTGGAAATTTGGACCATGCTGTCTCCGAAAATGTTTCGCCCTCACGGAGAATTATATCGTCTTCGTTGAAACGCCGCATATTGTGAACGTAGTCAAAGTTGCTGCAACGTACATTAAGGGTTATAGAATGTACGACTGGATGGACTGGATCCCGTCGGACAAAACGAGAATCTACCTCATGCAAAAGACGACTGGCAAGGTGCTCAAAGTGGAGTATCTCACTGCCCAAGCCATCCTACTTTTGGATATTGTCAACGCATACGAGGAAAACAACAAGGTTTGAAGGGACAAAACGGTCACTTTCATAAATGCTCAAAATTTAAGTATTTTTACTAGATTGAAAATTACATTTCCATTTCTTTAGATTATTTTGGATGTTTGTACCCAATCCAACATGTCACTGTTCGAGGGCTTCAACTTATCCAACATTCGCTCGCTCATCAGCCCCAAAACCTACGTCCCAGGCTGTATGGAACGATTCGTCATTCCCGTCATTGCGGACGTGAGAAAACATGCCGAGAATTCCTCCCTTCTCTCCTCTGACGTCAAATCGTTGGCTATAAGGAAAGGAGACCGTGTAATTTTGACTGGAGAACCACTTGGCCAAAACTGCAATGGTTATGACACCGGATGCATCAACCCGAACTACTCCTCAAGGAAACACCTCTTCACCTACACAACCTGCTGTTTACCGTCCACCGTCTTCAAGCCTACATCTCCAATTGCTCACGGGGTGGGAAAAGTACACTTGGGGGAGGCAGGATGTCCACGAGTCATGTGGGAGACCGGACCCGGGTGTCATCCCTGGTCGCCCGTATTCGTACCAAATCCGGCACCTGGGAGCAAAGAGGATGAGCGTCCTCATCTGCCTCGTCACCAACTTGCACAAGCGACAGAGTGACTTTCTTGTTGTAATTGATGCTTCAACAATGAAGGAGATTTCACGAGTCGAGTTTAAAGATTGTCAAGTTGCTTCGTATTATTTAGCAACATTTTACGCTAATAACGAGTAAAATAATTAGCTATCCATACATTCATCGTACTGATTAGGTAATGATTACCTATTGCTGCATTATTACTTATTACTACTAAATGGTATATAGCAACAACCGAATTAAAGATATTTAGATAGTCTCGCTCACATTCCGCTCTGATTTTTTCTACATCTATCTGCCATCGTGTATTTTATTTTCCGAACCTGATAACAATTGACTGACGATTTGTGATATCTGGTAAAAGCATCATTACAAAACTTGCTTACATTATTCGTATCATCATCAACTACTAACAGCTAAAGTCGCAGCCATTTGCTCAGAGACTTGTTTTGACAGGGTTCTTCTATGGTGCACTATTTTCTTAATCGGTGAGTTTCATTTGCTTGTTTAGATGCGGATTTATTGCAACAGTGGTGTGATCGTGACTGTCGCGTTTTCCGAGTAAATAAGTAAGTAGGCGTCGTCAGATAAGAAGAATGTCCACATAATTTATTAGTGAGAGGCTTCGTATTTATTTTATTTATTTGGACTCTGCTGCCTTGTGTTTCTTCATCGTTGCTTATCTCGTCTGATTTATGATCCCCGTGTGTCTTGCATACTTGTTGAAAACCCTCCGTTTCGTCAACTCACAATTACACGCAGATAACATGACATGCGACACAATCTATGCTCAATTTTTTATTACTAATATAAATGCATGCAAGCAAGGTGCACGGATTACTGGAAATGGTGCTTATTATTCATAATACTGACAGTTGAGGAAAACTGCTGCATCATTTACGACGACAACAAAAACATGCCTAATCTGGAATCCAGTTTAAGTGGATAAGGTTCCAAAAGAATGAATTGAATGAGACAAACTCCATCCAGCATTAATTTCGGAAATGTCTCACTCACCGCATCATCCGATCCATTGTTTCCAGGTTATTAAGACATTTGGGCGAGTGAGAGTGAGTCCAAGTTGCATTTCGCTACAGATATGAACTGGACATGCAGCCAAAAAAGAACGGATTAAGGATTTCATTTAGCTTTCTCATCTAGGTCGTTGGCGAGTCAAGCAAGTGAGGATTTTGGTGTTGTGCCTGCCCATTTATTTCTTCCTTGTGGCCAAAAAAGATGCAGATGAGAGGGCTTCACTCCTTTTTGCTGCATTCACTTTTGAATCTCTGGTTGAACGAATGGAATACATAAGAGATCCAGTTTTGGACTCGTACATTGTCAGTTGAGTCGAGGATCGTGGCTCTGGTTGGTCATTCTTCTGCAATTAGAAACGCGACCAGAATTAACTCAAACGTCGTTTAAGGCTTTTGATCGCTTTTAAGAGCATCCACTGATTGATTTGCAACAAATAAATGGACCACACGAATCGGTTGGTGAAATAATTGTGAAGGTGTTGGGTGCTTCAAGTGAGGTTTTTTCTGCCACTCTGGGAATGTTAAGGATTGGATAAGTAAGTAGGTAAATAAGGTGTCAGTTGGGTGCTCCGTGGTTGAACTATTTATGGCTTGTTGAGACTCAACAGGACGGTCTTTTACAACCCGATTACTATTCACGCACATCGCCTTTTCAACCCCCGACAGAGATACGCAACAAGAGGATTTGTAACAACAAACTCTTCGTCGTCGTTTCCTTATCTCGTTTTCATAATCCCGGAAATCACACCAGCGGCCACAAGACTGGAGTATCACCTTCTGCTCCTTCCTCAAAAACGCATCCTGCTTCTTGGGTGCCAGCAGAAAGTGATCATCACGACGACACTTTTCATAATACTAATCGCTCTGGCTCCTCCACAGTTTGCATAATTTATCCCTTCGCTGGCCAAGTAGAAGCAAAGCCACAGCTCGTTTCCAGAATCTCCAGCAAGTATTTTAAGACGAGCAGCAGGTATTCATCCCCCTCTCGTCTCGTCCTGTCCTTATTGACACTTTTTAAACCTTGAGCCAACACAGATTGTGACGAGATTTGACGATTTCAGTGACATTTACATTTTTAAACCGAGTTCGAACCAGGTGGACGACTGGAGGTTGAAGGATGACTTGAAGTTTGGAAACTGTGAACAACAAGTGGAGTCGTCAGCGAGTGTAATATGGAGTGGACACAGCGGCGGAGACACTTATGCATTCAACGTCTGACTTTCATCGGATCAAGTCCCTCCTCGACGACCACGACGACGACGAATAAGTCAAGTCAACCACATAGAAATACATAGCCCACCTCAAAGGGTCAAACTTTTATTCCACCACAATAAACTTTTTGTGAATATTTACATAAATAAAAATACTTTGAGGATTTTTTATGAAGTTTATAATCCCATTTCTGTGACGGAACATAATTCAAT